CTGTAATTTAGTATATTAATCGTCACGGATCAATTATAAAAATATTATTCGTCGCCGGACGTGACATAAACCGTCCCATCCCTAGAAATTATATGGTCTGGCCAATAAAAATATACCATTATACCTACAGAAATTTTGTGTAATGAAAAGCTTGTAATAATTTTTTAATTTTCACCCTTTCACCAGCTTGTAATGAAGCTTTCAAAATGGCTCAAGAAAAACCTCAAAGACAACATTAAAGACACCTTAAAAGCAACTATCAAAAGTTTACTTCAGTTGGACCCTCCCATAGATAGAAAGACTGACATAAGTAAACAAGAAAAGGAGTTGCAATTATCAATGCAAGCTCTATTGAAAAATGACATAGAGTTACAAAAAGAATGCACACAGTTAAGCACATAGCTTAACATTTTTGAAAAAGAGAAAGAAAACAAAAGAATGTTAAAGATCATTGACAAAAGTGACCATGCTGTTTTTAAAAAAACAAGAATTTTCTCAAGTGTTGTCAATGTCTCTTACAGTACAAGCTCCACCTCTGCCCTATAAAAAATTTTTTTACGGAAAGTCCTACAAAATGTAAGGAACTGCGGGATGTGTAAGGAAAGTCCTACAAAATGCAAGGAAATTCGCATTTTTCCGTACATGAAAAAAATTACAGAATGTAAGGAAAAATGCGAATTTCCTTGCATTTTGTAGGACTTTCCGTAAAAATTTTTTATAGGGCTGTAATTGTTCAGTTGATAGTTTAAAGGAATGCAAATCACTATCTGGTAACCCTTTGTTAGGGATGTTAATCAGTCCTTTGGGACTGGGTCCCAAAAAGTCCGGGGCTGAACTGCTTCAGGTTCAGTCCTACCCTTTGGGACTAAAGTCCCTATAAATCCGCATGTAACATAAATATTTAAAAAAAAAATTTCACATGATACAGTATACTCTGTCTATCCCTTAAACTGTCTGCCATCCAAATTTGGATGCTAATTTTTTTTCATATATAAAATCTTTTCTGATCTAGAGATGTGATCCGTGGATGGTCAATCCGGATATCCACAAAACAATCCAGATGGATGGATGGCTTTTTTAAAGTGCTAACAGATTGCGGATTGAAATTTTAGAAATTATCCCTTAAACTGTTTCTGCAGCATATATGCTGCAGATTTGTTGTAAGACACAAAGATTTTTATTATGCAGTTTTTACACATAATTTCCTAATTAAAAAATGATTTTTGAGATTGTATCATTAACCCATTAAAGAAAAAACA